CAAAGCGTAATTTAAATTCAGAAATTCGTAATTTAATGAACTCCGTCGAACAAGAATTGCGAACTCATGTTACACTAAATGTTCTCCAGGAAAATCGACTAATGAAAAAAATCCTTGCATTAAGCAGAAAATTCGAAACATTATCTTTATGTACTGTATTATTTCGTTATAGTGAGATTCCCCTGTACATAATCCTGCGTTTTTTCCTTCCGAGATAACTCATGAATGTTCACCAAATCTATCCAAGCAAGAAAACTCTCAAGCAAACAAATGGTCATGTCATAATGACATATAGACGCTTCCAGCCAAGTCTCTGCATCTTCGCTCACCTTTCAGTTACCAGGTTTGTAAAGGATCCTTTGCAACTCAGCAACGTGTAGGTAAGAGTGCGTATAATGGGATGTGCGCAGAGCGCGCCTAGTTTTGCTTCACATACACACACACAAACCAACATTTCCCCCCACACTTGGCTTTCCTTTTCATCCACACCCCAACAGGAGTAGTTACTGTAGTTGCATGCTCATCCTACTCCTCCACCCCCCTCTTGTCCCTTTTCCCTGTTGCCCCACTCGAGACTTTCCACCTCAGGGGAGAAGAGGAAAACTACGCACATTGGAACATTCGAGGCCAAGGCGATATGGGGTGGTAAAGAGAGAGAGAGATAGGCGTGGAAGAGGACGGGGGGGAAAAGGCGGGTGAAAAACCGTTGGGACACATTCGGTCGGCAGACTCGGCACCCATGTGCAAGCAGAAATCAGACCTCCACCCCTACGCATCTCTCTCCCCCCCCCCTTTGTACAGTACAGTATTTAGGAGGACACTTTATTCCAGGGCATTCTAACCTCTGTTCTGGCTTGTTCCACTTGGAACACATGGTGATTTTTAAACAACACCCATAACAATCTTCCCATAATTCAAGTAAAGTAAGTTTTACATTTTTTAAAGTGATTCTAGAAATCATTACTGGTTGGTCTGGTTAAAATAGAATTACATTCACGAATTTAACCTCGCATTCAAGAGTCCTACATGTTGCACTTGAAACTCGAAGCTCGTCTAATGACTCCCTAAATATACAGTACATTCATCCTTATTCTCGAAATTCCCTTACAATGAATGCGTTAACTCCAATGTTGACCCCTCAAACCTACATAACTTGAACCTTCTGGAGGCCTTTCGGCTACTTCATTGACACAGGAAAAAGAAAATCGATCAGAATTTAACTCCAGGCATTTTGAAAGGAATTCGAAGACTGAACGGGCAATTAAACCCTGGCTTCAAAGATCAGCTATCAACCCGTTTGAAAAACAAATCAAGGCCCAGAATATCACCAATTGAAATTTTATGCACTATATTTCTTTCTTCTTCTAAACAACAAAAATGTCCGTTTCCTTAACTCGAATTCATTTTGCGTGCTGGGTACATGCCTGGGTACTTCCCGCTGGGTCGTTGTCTCCCAATAAGTGATCTTACATTTTCTTTTCGTCATGGTACCTTTTTGCTTCACGGTTCGTATACAACTCTACTCTTTCTTGAACGATTTTCTCTGCACAAAGATTTTTTTTGGATCTCATGGGATTTTCTACCCATCGAATCGGGATCCTGGTCCCCTGAATTTCGTTGTGGAGAGAGAGTCAGGGTACCGAATGACTACACTGGCTTGAACTCAAACTGCGTAGTGAAGTACAGTACTTTGTACGCATTTATAATTCCCAAGCAATTAAACACGTCAAGTTACCAGTGCAAGTACTGGTTTATCTGAGCAAATCCGAGCGATCTTGTCTTCAGTGTCTACCTCAACGTTCAACTTCGTCGGCTTCCATCCAACTATCCTTAAATTCATACAGTATTTAAAGCCAAGAAAATCTAACAAGCGACATTATCCTTTGTCAAGAACATGAAATATACTCCCAAGAGCCCAAGAGTGCAAATTGGAAATTTAAAATACCCAACAAGCAAAAAAAAGACAGTGATTCTTTAACGCATACAACCCTCCAGCGCAAAATTACTCGTAAACAAACATTTCTATTCGTTAAATTGCATCAAGGATTTTGTAAGCATACCTAATATTTTCGAGGAAAAATTCTTGTCAAGCACGTCTCCGCGAAACAGGGTACAGTAAATTTAGTGGACAAACGGGATTTTCATCATTAAAAGGATCAGCCGATGAATCGCAGAAATTCGCAAGGTTACGAAACTTTTGCAGAAAAACCTGGCGGGCTCGTAATTAAAATTTAAAACGCGAAGAAACAAAATTGAAGTTTTTCATCGAGGCATCAATAAAATAAGATTGGTAAAACTGATTTTTCCTCTTGATCAATGAGAGGATCATCCGTTCAAATGCAAAACTTCCCTAGATTACTCAAATTTCCCACAAAATAAAAACAGGCGGGTTCGTAAATCAAATCTGAAAAGGCACAGACAAAAAAATCAAAGGCTTTATCGAGGCATCAATAAAGTAAGACAGGCGAAACTTATTTTCCGGACTTTCTACGCAGTGAACAAGTCGATCGCGGTCAGCCAATCATCATCCGCTTTGCATGAATGCATAATTCTCGCCATACATTCAATTCGCATGAGGCACGAGTTCGCAGATGAAATGCATCAGCAACCCGAATGGATCAAAGACAACCCACGATTATTTTTACCCGCGCATTCCTCGGAAAGCTTTCATCGTAATGCGCAGCATCGAATATACCTCACACGATCAGACTCTCCTACATTTTAGAGATCCCAAGTTCAGCAATAAAAGGGAATTTCTTTCAAAAATTCATGTAAAATCAACCCTTGGATGCAGCATCCGAAGGGCTTGTAATTACAGTACTGTGTCCTGTCTTGTGGTTCTCTAGAAATCTGTAAAATTCTGGGTGAGAATCCTTAAGAAAAACCATCAAGGGATCCTTTGCAGAAATTCCAGCAAGCCTACGTTATTTTCTTTAGTTTCTGTGAATTTCTTCCTCGCAACCTCACTCCTTAAAGAAACTTCAGTTGACATAAAAAATACGAGAATTTCCTCATTTTTTCCCGGATAGGAACATAATTTCTCAAATATTGTATACGACATAATAAAGATTTCAAGAATATTTTTCGTTGCATTCTGAAATTATGTACTTCAACTGTCGCCGTTTTCATTCATTTAAAGAAAGTTAGTGGGTCAACTCCTAAAAAAAGGCACCATTGACAAAAGCTATTTATTTTCATATGCCGTGGAAAACCTTGCCGATATCCAATTACGCGAAAAAAAAAAGTTTCATCAATTGAAACAATTCTTTATCGGTGCGTTTCTCCGCGCAACTCATTTTCGCCAATTTGCATTTCTTCTGACACGCGCATGATAAAATGCCTCGCCATTTCCGCGACCGATCGACGCGTCGACAGAGACAAATAAATAAATATACTGCGTTATCATTCTGCCACGCGTACAACTCGCAGTATATTTTAATGCGCACGAATTGAAACTTGTCAACGACACACAAAACAATGACACGACACTTTTGTCCCACAGTCGATAAATCTCCAGATAGCCCAATTTTCAACACCCGGGTTCAACAAAATTGCGCAACAAAAGCTTCGAAGGACGTTCGAGAAGCCCAGATAAGACTGTCAATAACACTACGTCTCAAGTAAAGTAAATACTTCTTTTCGGAAGCAGCATTTACAAACAATACCCACAAGGACGTACACCCCGCGGAATAAAATTCGTTGAGCCTGTTATAAAAATAAGAAGCCTTTCCGGTACTATTTGAAAAAAAAAACCCAACGCGCGATGTATCAGAAATGCTGAAAACACAGAAAAAAAACGTACACGAGTTACATCCTGAATCAAACATTACAGGCAGATTATTTACAGGGCGTCCAAAGAATTGACTTACAGTCAAGCGCAAAGAATCGAGTAAATACAATTTTCATTGCAGTTTCTTTAGAACCAAATACCGGACCAAATACCGGTCATATCCCAAAAGGCGAATTTACAACTTACAAATTTAGCACACACGAGCATGTACTGTAATCAAAAATTAATACCACAAGTTGATGTTTTCGACGCCACGAGGAAAAAAAAGGGACATTCGTCCTAATTCCCAATAGTCTTCAGTATTTTATGCCGATAATGATTTCACAAAAGGGATGAAAACGACCCGGTAGCCAGGAGCTTGAAAACCCTCAACCCTTGTCGCACACAATGCTTACGGTTCTGCGCAATCATCAAGTGACAAGGGAAAAAATTCCACCCGCATTTCCTGCTTACTAGCTAGGAATAATTCTTCATAGCAGCCGAAAATCTCACAAAGACATTCGACGAACGAACGGTCTCAAAATATTCTCCGAACAAATTCAGCAGTGGCGATTCACCAAAGCGGCATAATTCACATATAAACCAGCGATTGCCAAATCGCCAAGAGATCATATTCGGAAAACGAGCCCTAATGCAGATTTCAAACACATTTGAAGCAGAACATACCCTGCAAAAAATATTCTCTCAGAGAAAGAAAGACTTGAAAACGACCACTTTAAAAACTGGACTTCGAAATTTGTGGCGGTCGGCTTGGACAAGTTGCTTCGAGCCTTAAATTGAAGCGGTTACGGCAGTTTCTTCAGAAGTACGAACAAAGAGCAGGCGAAGACTAGGATCAGGAAAGTACTATTATTACAGAGATTATTTCCTGATGCATAAAAGACGGAAGCGGTTCACCAGCCGAGATTCGTGGAAGAACGAAATTGAAGATGGAATCTACAGAAATTTGTGCATGGTCCTCAACAAAAAAAACGCCACAACTGCCGTTTCTTCACCTCCACGACGAAGTTTCCACGCAAGATACCCTTCCGAAATTGATTACGATAATGAATTACTGACTCCGCGAGTCGAAAATGTTGGGAATCCCCTGTCCGGTCTCATCTTCAAAGCCATAAATTCAAGTCATATCGGTCGAGACGCGTTCGAAAGTTAGATAACATCATGATCCTGTCTCTCACGGAGACCCACGAGACTTGCAAGATGCATCAAGTCAAGGAGTCGTGAGGAGATGACAAGCACACGTGTCCTTCGGAAACCAGGTCGTCGCCTCGGAGTCAGTCAACTCTTCTTCTAAACTAACTACGTCAGAACCGTCAATGCGTAACGACGTGAGACTACAATCGCCTCCAGAACAAATTATTCAACCCGTTCCTTTGACGAGAAGACCCAGTTGGGACAGAAGCCTCGCAACTCACACGTTCTTTCGCGCATGAACATCTTATACACCGTTGGGATTACAGTAATGGATCATACTTGATCATTTTCCGGATTGCAATTTCCGTCTTCCGCAAAAATTGCGTTCAATTGGAAATGTGCGTCTAAAGTCCATTAGCATCTTAGATTTACAGGTTAAGAACATTATGGCTGAGCAAATTTTCCCGAAGAATAATGGGCTGATTTTCAGGCCAACAATAACATCTCTGAAATTTGATGTTGGGGATCCTCCCATTTGATAGGCTGCCAACTACTCCAAGGGATCCCAGCTGCTAATTGAAAACGCTCTGAATCTTTGAATGTAATGAAGGACCACTCATGATTAATGGAAAAATTAATTTGAACGTGAAAAAATAGTAGAATCTTACGCTTGGTGTCTGCAAGAGATGTTTACGATAGGCTTCAAAATACTGTACGATGATGAACGGGAATTTCAACAATGGAATTGAATGCGAGAATCAAACATAAGCATGACGTTGAAGATCATTGTCAACGATCTGTGCAATTTCCTTCAATTCTAAACCATGAACCCATTGTTCAGTCGCGTAATCTGCTTTTCTTTCGGGGTTAATCTGTTAAATCCGCGTGGAAACCGATAAGCACAAAAAGGGCTTAGGTACAATTCTCTTTGTTCAACACCCGTTTATGAATGGACAAAGAAAAACTCACCTTTCTCCGATGCAAGAATCTGAGCGGCCAATTCCAACAAATTCGGCGTGGACGGAGTGCCGATTGTCAGAGTTTCGTCAGAGTCCCACCCATCATCCTACGGATCACACTTTTGCTCACGACCGAACGGTGCAACTGAATAAAATCCATCAACTTACATGATCACTAAAATGACGTCCAGGTATAGCAATCGCTTCTGTCTCGGTCTTCATATCTCTCAAGCGATCCAGGTTGAGCACACGGGGAGAAATTGCAAAAAATTCGGAGGAGCAGGCTCCACGAAACAGTATCACAGATCCGACAAAAGGCTGACTCGAAACGAAAAAATTTGGCAGCTCGTTCTCAAAAGAACGATATAACGAGGTTTTCGAGTTTGGGGATTATCACAGACGAAGCGACTTCCAAGCTAGTTCGATGTAGCAGAGCAGTCGAACGCTTCGAAATTTAATGCTCTCCTTCAACCGCCGTCGGATGTTATCGCGACTGAAGCATTGCCCTGCGTTTGAAGCCGGGAAGATGGACGTTGGCGGGATGAGGCGACGCGCAGTTACCGGTTAGAATGTTCCACGGGAGAGAGTGTACCGGGCTCCCTCATAGGGCGCCCTACGGCTGGCCGAGGAGAGGAGACCCGCCACTCCCTGTTACTACGCAGTCTGATACCAGCGCAAAACGAGGCTGTTCAGCCTTCTGAACGCTTCCCGCACCTTCAGCACCATGAGTTCCCATGATACTGTACTGTACAAGGTTATCCGGCAGGGCTTATCAACCCGTGATGCGCGTACCACGTTTTTACCAACTGGTACCCAGAATTGTCCCACATGAAAACTATCTGACTCTGGAACGTGGACCTTTGTATTCAAATGAAGAATAAAACTGAACTTATGCTGGACAGAGGATAAAATCATTGAAAAAGATAAAGTTAAACGCAGAATCCCCTCACACTGGTCACTTGAAACAACATGCATAAGGCGCCTGAACGTTGGCATGTCCCGTGGTAAAGTTCACAAGAATTTTGAATAGTCCTCACATGCCATATTGATTCAAATAAAGGTCATACATGAGTATAGGCCAGAGCCCATTTCAGGTTCACCATCTGGAGGTCTGTAAATGCAAAAACATTGCAATTTAATTTTTTTAATGCCGCTTATACATAAATGGAAGAATTTTATTTTGTCTTTGTATTTTTCATTAAAAGGTTCAGAATAACGCAGTGTTTGAAATGGCATTTAGTAGGTTGCCAACTGTATAATTCTTGATACTCCACTAAAGTAAATTACAGGTGGATTTTTTCTCAGCAACAAAATTCAAGGAACCAAAAAATAAATAAATTTCACTCTAGATAACTGGGACCAATTTTTTTTTACGCAGATTATATTCTTTTGGACAGAATTATTGTGGAGAGAGTCCACCTTCTATTATTAAAACAATACTGTGGAACACATCTCTCAAATTCAAAATTTTTCGCATTTTAGTCATTTTTTGGAAATACTGTATACTGTACTGCATTCTTCAACTCGGTTCAACCTTGTGTGTGTATTTGTAAGGTTTCCACATATATCCGGGTGATTTTAAAAACTACCCCAAAAGACGTCTTTTTTCACGTTGGTCTCATAGTTTTTCATGTCCACCTGAGGGGGATGTTACTAGAACAGAGTAACGATTTTCTCTGTACATTGAATTTTTCTGGTCCGACAAAGGGTTTTCTCACCATGTCATAGGAGTTCTCTACAAAAATGGTTTCCTTTCAGATTTGTTGTAGGGAGCGTCCATTGTCTGTATAAATGCTAATAAAAATGCAAGGTAATTTACCTGCATTCCATTGACCCGAGTAAGAGATCATTGTTGGTGCTTGGTTCATGATATGGATAACCAGGTTTATCCGTAGGAACACCTTCACGTCTGGCTCTCTGTCTCGGTAGATTACACGGGGAACGCTGTAGGGTATAGCAAGCCTGAAAGCTTTCATTCAGCTGGCCATGCTGGGCGGTTGAATGCCAGGGTGCAGCAAAAAAAAAATCTGTCATGTAAAAAAGCCTACCTAATTTGAAAGGAACGACTGAAGATGTGAAGTCAGTGTTCCCCAACCTTTTAAAGCCTGCAGACTGACTGGCAAGTTTCAAAAAAAAAATTTTGCAGACCTGCAAATTCCCAAAAATTTTCTGCAGACTGGCAAAGTTTCATAAAATGTTTTCAGACTTGAAAAAATGTTGCTTGTTAGACTTTAAAGCAGGTAAATAAAAGTGCATGCTTATTGTAAAATCAAGTTACACACTTATGAAGCAGCTATAGCTGAACATCAACAACTTAGAAAGGTGGGATTGAAGAAAGGTTTATCAGAATAAAAAATTTTAATAATTTATTTCAGGAGGTAAAAGTGTGTCTGAAGTGCCATTAGGAGAAAAGGCAACTTTTATTTTTCATCAAATGATTTCAACTGCAATTGTCTTTCCAAAGTTTTAGATAATGATAGCAGAGTTCATTGCTACTTTTAATAAATGTATCATGCTCAAAATTTGCTGCGGACCAGCAAAAAAACTTCTGCAGACCAGCGCCAGTCCACAGACCATGGGTTGGGGAACACTGATTTAGAGGATAAATGCAAAAATACAATAGTTGCTTTCTTTGATGTGGAATGCAAGCAATTTATATAATTATCTTGGCCTACTGGATTAGTGAGTCAAGGGTCAGTTTTCAATTTGTCTGCTGCATATAATATTCAAAACCATTCAAAAGACTGCTAACATTTACAGTTTTTTTAAAACATTTTGACAAGAATAAATGCGTTAAGAGTCTGATTTGCTCCACTATATTTTTACTGCATTTCTAATTAAGACGTTTTTATTAACTTGCTTTCTTGTCCATTTGTTTGTCCGGATCAAATTTTGAAACTCAAATTTTGCTCACTTCCCAACTAGCTAGCAAGCTGAAACTTTCAGGATAGCTTAGAAACTGATGACAATGCAATCTTTTGTGAAAAGAATAATTATAAAAATATTTTTTTTAAAGAATAAAATAATTATAGTAGATTAAAAAATTAATCTAAAAAACCACATTTTTCAAGTAAGACTAAAAAGCACAAAAAAATTTAGTAGATTAAAAAATTAATCTAAAAAACCACGTTTTCAAAAAGCAAAAAATAACCTTAAACGTGGTGCGCATCTATTTCATTTGTATTTCACTTCTTCCCAACAATCTCCATGCGCACCACGTTTAAGGTTATTTTTTTCTTTTTGAAAACGTGGTTTTTTAGATTAATTTTTTAATCTACTA